GTTAGGTGCACATCTTACGTCCATGACAGTTGCACCGCTTTCTGAGAACATCTGCTTGTTAGGCCTCTAACCATGTAACTATGTTACACTTCGTGTCCATGTCTTATATGTTCAGTGTGGCTTTATAAGTGTCAGTTGTTGTTGCTCTGCTGCCATTATGCTTTAGACGTTGTATGTCAAACTATATTTCATAATTTATGTTTTATGCCCATGGAATTGTCTTTAAAGCGAAACTCTTCTCTATAAAACGACTGGCGTGTCTGAATAGAGAATGGATGTACAATACTACACTGCTGGACAAAATAAAATGAACTCTTGTGTTGATTGTGGCTGAACAAAAAAAAACAACCCGAAATTGCACAATCGATAGTGATTCATTTGATACGGGTATTATAGCCGTAGCTTGACCCTGATTCTGGGTGTCTTTGTACAAAACAACCTTAGCAAAAAGACTATCGTAAGTCTGTGCTAAGGAATGGGACTCACCTTAGTGCTTAGGTTGTTTTGTACAACGGCCCCTTGGTCCCAAGCAAAGTTTTGATAACATTTGTATTTATATGCGTCAAATTCAATGGGTTTTTTATAAAATACACCGTCTTCTGTCCCATAATTTACTAGCGTTCGTGTTGCATACAGACATTGATCATTCGAATATTGAGGAGAGTGTTTCTTTAAATGGTTTTAAAGATAATTCACAATGATACGTATGAAAGACAAAAAGAATGCAAATGACTATATCGTTAACTGTAGGCGCCAAAACTGGACAGCGTTATATACTACTTACATGCGCGTCAATGCATTACTGTTGTATGTTTGTAGTTCATCACGTGTCATTGCTGTTCCTTGTCAGGTGACAAAGTGCTCAGGTTGTACCTTCGTTGTTGGTTGTAATAAACTACCATGTAATCATGTAATATGTTTGTTGGCTTTGTGTGCGAGCTGCGTCTACATTATATATATGTTTTGTTTAGTAGAACGGATTAGGACCGACCATTTATATTTTTAGTTGAGGAAAAGGCAATGTGAAAAAGGTTAAAAAATAAAAAATTATTTGTCTTCAAGTTTTAACCTTAAAAGTAAATAGCATTTTCGAATAATAATGTAATTTGTGGGTCCCAATATGTGTGTTCTTGTGATGTTTTAGGACAGTCTACTGAACACCGAGCGATTGCCTTGTACTTACGTAACATTTGCCACCATTCTATTTTTAAGAATGTTTTGCGAAATACGGTAGTTGTGATTAAACGGTATAGAGTGGACGAGTACATGAACCTAGTAGTCATGACGTCATAATACCGTCCTGTGGTCGTAACGTTTCATTAAGTATCGTCATGTGATTGTTCGACGATAGGATTATGTCGTCATGTGATTGTTCGACGATTATACTACATCGTCATGTGATTGTTCGACGATAGGATTAAATCGTCATGTGATTGTTCGACGATTGTATTGCATCGTCATGTTATTGTTCGACGAGAGGATTGTATCGTCATGTGATTGTTCGACGATTGTATTCCATCGTCATGTTATTGTTCGAAGAGAGGATTGTATCGTCATGTGATTGTTCGACGATAGGATTGTATCGTCATGTGATGGTTCGACGATGGTGATACATCGTCATGTGAGTGCTCCATGCCATATACTTTCTTCATTGTGATTGTTCGACGATGACGGTAAATTGTTCCCAGATGTCACACCATTGTCACACCATTGTCTCGCTATTGCATATTCGATCATGTGACGACCTTGTCATGTTGTTTTTGTCATTTTGCTGTCTCATGAGTGCTCAGTGTTATAACATTGCCTTATGTGGACACTGAAACTTTTAGTGATTTTAGTGTTGCTTTGACAAAGCGACATGACATCCGACAACAACATTGAAACAACAATTTCATTTCGTCAACAGCATTCCAGTGACACAATTCCAGTGTAACTAGTGGCAATGCTACCGTGTATATCCCTGGGGCAATACTGACTGAGTGAGTTTGGTTTTACGCCGCTTTTAGCAATATTCCAGCAACATCACGGCGGGGAACACCAGAAATGGGCTTCACACATTGTACCCTTGTGCGGATTCGAACCCGGGTCCTTGGCGTGACGAGCCAACGCTTTAATCACTAGGCTACCCCAGAGCCCACTGGGGCAATATATCACACCCCTTGATCTTCACCGTAAACAGGGGGCGGTGGGGTAGCCTGGTGGTTAAAGCGTCCGCTCGTCACGCCGAAGACCCGGGTTCGAATCCCCACATGGGCACAATGTGTGAAGCCCATTTCTGGTGTCCCCCGCCGTGATGTTGCTGGAATATTGCTAAAAGCGGCGTAATACCATACTCACTCACTCACTCACCATAAACAGTAATCACAACATCAGCATCTAAACTAATTCATGTATATGTTCAAGTTGTACACATGCCTTTTCGTACCCGCTGGTAAGTCCGAACACAAAGAGCTTGGAACATACAAGTAAGCAATGTCACCAGCATGGGTATTAACGCAGCTGTGAACAATTGTCATGGAAGGAAATTCAAGAATATAAGGAAATGCACATGCACAATATACAACCAAACTTTACAATATCGCAAACTCACCGATATGACGCCCCAGTGTGTCGTCTGCTAATGAAGGGGAGGTAACTCTACAGATAAATAAGATCGGTATTTTCTGTTGTGGGTTCTGTTGGATGTTGGCGCATTGCCAAATGGAGGCACGATACAATGTAAACAAATTGTGCCTTTTCCTTTGGGCAATTTGTTTCTTGTGTCTCTGAGGGATCACAGGTGGCCAAGTTGACTGTCTGATGTACGCCAGAAACCCATGGTGGTGGGTTCGAATCCAGGTTCGCCCCGACCATGTTTATAGGGTTGTCAAAGTGGAAAACCCATACCTTCGGGTTTTCCTCCCACAGTAAGCAGACATGCTGTGATCAAATTAGGTGAATCATTAAAACCTTAGTGACCATTCATAATGTACGGCAAGGTGGGGTGATGATGATTTTTATTTTATGGAGAAGCTTGTACAATGTGAATGACAAAATACACACAAACACACGCACGCACACACGCACACACACACGCACACACGCACGCACGCACACATACACACACACACACACACACACACACACACACACACACCTGCATGACATGTACGAAATCAATGACCACCCCAGTAGTACATGTGTACAAAAATGTATGCTAGCTACCCAGAACAAAATGTGTGTCCCCCCTTATAATCATCATCACCCCGCACGCCATCAATTATGAACGGTCCCTCATCACCTGTAAAGGAGCATCAGCCATATTTACATACATCACGTGCACAGATGGACCATCAGCCATATTTACATACATCACGTGCACAGATGGACCATCAGCCATATTTACATACATCACGTGCACAGATGGACCATCAGCCATATTTACATACATCACGTGCACAGATGGACCATCAGCCATATTTACATACATCACGTGCACAGATGGACCATCAGCCATATTTACATACATCACGTGCACAGATGGACCATCAGCCATATTTACATACATCACGTGCACAGATGGACCATCAGCCATATTTACATGCATCACGTGCACAGATGGACCATCAGCCATATTTACATACATCACGTGCACAGATGGACCATCAGCCATATTTACATACATCACGTGCACAGATGGACCATCAGCCATATTTACCTACATCACGTGCACAGATGGACCATCAGCCATATTTACACGCATCACGTGCTAGATGGACCAATAACCGTATTTACATACATCACGTGCACAGATGGATCAAAAACCTCATTTACACACATCACGTGCACAGATGGATCAAAAACCTCATTTACACACATCACGTGCACAGATGGACCAATAACCGTATTTACATACATCACGTGCACTGGCGGACTGTCACGATCGACTATTAGCTTGACTAATATGGACCAGAATCCTCATTTACCTAGATAACGTGCACAGATGGACCAACAACCTTATTTACATACATCACGTGCACAGGTGGATCAAAAACCTCATTTACACACATCACGTGCAAGGATGGACCAACAACCTCATTTACATACACCACGTGCAAGGATGGACCAACAACCTCATTTACATACATCACGTGCAAGGATTGACCAACAACCTCATTTACGCACATCACGTGCACGGATGGACCAACAACCTCATTTACATACATCACGTGCACAGATGGACCGTCAACCTCATTTACATACATCACGTGCACGGATGGACCAACAACCTCATTTACGCACACCACGTGCACAGATGGACCATCAACCTCATTTACGCACATCACGTGCACAGATGGACGGATGGACCGTCAACTAGACCCTCATTTACGCACATCACGTGCACGGATGGACCAACAACCTCATTTACGCACATCACGTGCACGGATGGACCGTCAACCTCATTTACATACATCACGTGCACGGATGGACCAACAACATCATTTACGCACACCACGTGCACAGATGGACCATCAACCTCATTTACATACATCACGTGCACGGATGGACCAACAACATCATTTACGCACACCACGTGCACAGATGGACCATCAACCTCATTTACATACATCACGTGCACAGATGGACCGTCACGATCGACTATTACCTTGACTAATAGGTTGATATATACAGGTCGACGATCAAACTGACTAACATGTTGATATATACAGGTGGACGATCAAACTGACTAACATGTTGACTGTCAACTGACCCCTGTGCTTACCTGTCTTGTCTGCTTGTGATAAAACGCATAGCAATATCCCAGCGGAATAACATAATCGAGTCCAGACCAGACAATCCAGTGACTGACATCACAAGCATCGACCGACTCAGTTTGGATACGATGACATGCATCAACCAAGTCAGCAAGCCTGGACACCAGCCTCCATAAGGTTTGCTGACTGTCAACTCAACACTCTGTACTTGGTGCTCACCTATATTTGTAACACACAATATTTCAGATGAATGGGCCTTCCCAAGAGTTCCAGGCCTCGCAAGGCAACAACGAGGTGCAAGTACTAGGTAGGTCAACATCTGTTTTCATTCATGTTACCATGGTTACCATGCAACATTACATTTGCATAAACACATTAAAACCTTATTCATTTATCCTATTAGGCAGGGGCGTAGCTACCATTATTTTAAAAAGCCCGGGCTTATACATGATTGTTGCTAAAAAGGTTGGGCAAACCCTCAATACTATCTAAATATAAAGCTTTGTAATCTATCGGGCTTACACGAAACAATTAGCTTGCAACGCGCCTGCCTATAATCAGAAGATTCATGATATTTTTTGTGTATGGTCAAGATATGTATTATTTTAGAGCCCCATACTGGGAGACTTTGGTATGGCACCAGCTAGTTCAGTATTGAATATGCGTTCAGACCCAGTCAACGACCCGATGTGTCTGTTTGAAGACTGCAGACGTCTGGAATCATTATCACTCCACATGGAATCACGAAATGTCTCCGTTATGGAGATAAGGACTATTTAACACATGTTAATACAGTAATGAAACGAATTATGAATTGCGCTTTTCAAGAAAAATCCATTTTCATTGTGCAAAAAACATCGTTACTAAGTTCCAATCCCTTGGTTACGATCCGCGTAAAGACCATGATCGGTGGGATGAAGCTGATCCGACGAATGGGAAAGATGTGGCCTCAAGCCTTTCCTGACCGATCGGATCAACTTCGTTAGCATATTACCATCACGAAGACGAAACCGCGCCCTGTTGTGGAACTTAAAGCGCTATTGCATTTGTTCGAGAAACAGACATTGCTTTGATGTAACCCATGTAGTCACCTTGATACCGACCTTGACCCGGATAGTAACCACGTGATCAGAACTACTTGAATATGCTTATTGATATAGGTGGTAAGCGTGTCAACAAGTCTACATGAAAGTACAGTGTTCTCACAAGACTTTCAGGCGATACGTTACACTGACTCCGAGTTCATCACCTTGTTTTACCCCCAATATCGTGAGCACAAGGAAGGGCAACAACAACTAGCAATGTTTAACCTCGTTTTGGTATGACGCGGACAGGGATCAAACCTTGACCGTCCGCGCTCCGGGTAGACGCTTTTTGACAAGATGGTCTTTTCATCTGACACCAATATGGTAATTAAGCTAAGACGAAATAATGATAGGTACTGGCAATAGACAGCTCACAGCTTCATGTGCAGTGCTGTGACGTTATTTGATTTGACGTCATGGTCACACTGAAGGCACAATTATAAGGGTAATGCTATTTTTGAAGGCATTATCATTTGCAGAAGCCCGCGGTCTTCCATTAACTGCCCAACGAAGGAGCCGTTTCATGATAATTCCATGTATTTTAGCTATAATGGTCTATATAGTATGTGCTGCAATTTCTTATCTCGCGATGTTTCCTAAGTGATACATGATTATAGGTATTAATAAAACTTTGTTATTTTCTAACAAAGAAACTAAAAACGTGGAAGTGGAAACATAAGGTAAGTGTGTGATAGGAGTCATAGATAGAACTTTGTAGTATAGTGTAGAATAGTTCTGTTAAAGTCAGCCCATAGGGGCTGCATTCACAGCTGCAAGACTAGACATCTGTGTTGGTCCCTGGCTGTCCTGACGTCGAACAAGCGGTGGCCATTAGGCTGCTATAGCGCGACAGCAAACATACAATTCATTGGTCCTCAGAAAACGGAATATGTGTAATTCCGTTTTGACGTAAATATACTCCCCAAAGATCTTAAATATGGCCACCAGAGAGGTTGTTTGTTATATATTTTATCATGCACAAGAAAAAATCCATCTATGTTTCATTACATTTGTAATTCAGCAAATATTACGCACTCCTATAACCGAATATGGTACAGATAAAAATCACATCCTTTTGACCACTGCCTGTGTAAGCGCACAGAAAGATGCCTCGAACGACAGGGGAACCAGTTTAGTGACTCAGCTTGGTAACTAATCTTAGTCTTGAATCAGCCCCCTATACAAACAAAGGCTAAAACAACACAAATGGAAAATAAGTCATGTTTTACAAAAATGAAAAAATAGATATTTAGAAAACTGCGGAAATTGTGACAAAAACGTTGTGAAACATTCAGTAAGTGTGTGACTATATATTGCTGAAAGTATATCAGCAAATGTGTTGTCACAAAGGTCAAAGTTTTTGGGCACATCTTCTGTTTATCGGATCACCTATATGATATCCAATTGTGTAATTGTACTTCAAAAGGGGCACTTGCGCACCTATATCAACAGATTTCATCAACATTGTTGTTTGTATGGGGTGCCTGTGACTTCTAACAGATAGATAGATAGATAGATAGATAGATAGATAGATAGATGTAGATGTTTTATCGTGAAATACAAGCATTGTTCTTAATGAAAATATATATAATGATACAATTTTTGACAAATGTGTATCTACAAGTGTGGACATGTTTTCATCACTGACTGCACATTGGACTCTCGTTGGAAAATGAAATGACGGGGAATAACTTATAAGCATAGCAAATATCATTTAATATTTTTGTATTTTCAACCATTTTTTCCGATTTTATTTCATCAGAATTCCACCCTAGTGTACCACAGTTTCTCATAGGTAAGTATCCATGTATAAAATCATCTTGCCAGTCATCTTGCCATACTCCATAGAGTGTCTTTGTGTAACGAGGTTTGGGGTTGTCGTGATCAATACAGCCGTACATTTGCTCACAGACACGTTACTTGTACATCTGGGGCGGTGGGGTAGCCTAGTGGATTGAAGCGTTCGCTCGCCACACCAAAGACCCGGGTTCGATTCCTCACATGGGTACAATGTGTGAAGCCCATTTCTGGTGTCCACCGCCGTGACATTGCTGGAATATCGCTGAAAGCGGAGTAAAACTATACTCACTCACTCACTCTTTTACATCTCTAACCTCCGAAGCACATGTAGCTCTCAGGGCAAATCCTTTGCCAAAGAGATTTTTCAGGTTTACTTTGATTTATAAAAGCACATGGGTAGGTTGAAATATATACCTGTCAATCATGTCAATGCCAGTCAATAATGACGTTAAGCAATGTCAAGTAGATATTTCTATTTGGCTCCGACTTGCTTGGAGCGATGCTTATGATGTCAGTCACTGTCCCTCAATCTATGAAGGTTTCAAGTCAAATGGCATAACACAAGTCAACGTTAATGTTTATAGTCAAGCAGCAGTATAGTGAAGTAATTGTGTTGGTGATCTATATAATACGTAAGAATGGATCTTCAGCATCCACTATGCTTGTCGTACGGGGATGACTAAGGGGATCGAGCGGTGAGGTCCACTGACATGGTTAGCTCATGTTATGGTATCCCAGTTGTGCAGAGCGATGCTCATAGGATTAGTCACTGGGTTGACAGGTCCAGACTCGATTTTTAGCAGGTAATAGGTAAGACTACAGAATACCGGATACCTTCTGCCATCTTTGAAAGCATGCGAGTTTACTTAGGGTTAGGGTAAGGTTCAGGGTTAGGGTTAGGGGTTAAGGTTTAGGGTTAGGGTAAAGTTTAGGATTAGGGCTAGCGTTTGGGTTAGGGTGACATGACACTAAACAAGATGGCTGGTAGGTATCCGGTATCAACAACAACAACATCGTCGTCATCATCGTCATTACTGTTTTTTATTATTTTCAGATGAATTACTTCGATACCCACAATGGTCCTTTCACTTCAACGAAACCCTCATGGAAATTAACGAACTCATGCATGACCTGACCGCTGCGTCTGTAACGACTGCCCCGCCACCAAGACAGAATCAGTTTCAACAAACGGGGCCGCTCCCTGTCCAGGGTGTCCAGCCAGGGCTGCTCCAAGGTCAAGGTGTGCAAGTTGGTCATCTGGAAGGTGTAAACATGAACCTTCAAGGGGTCCAGGTGGATCAAGTTGGTATGGGCCATGGACATTCACACGGAGTAGGTCAAGGTCAAGGTATTGGAGGTATGGTTCAAGGTCAGGGAACTTTGGATCATGGTCACAGAAGAATGGATCAAGGTCAAGGAAACATGGGACAAGGTCTAGGTCATACCGGTCAAAGTCATGGGAATACTGGACAAGGTCATGGGAGCATGGGTCAAGGTCATATGCAATCACTTCCATTTGGTCAGTCCCAAAACATCGGCCAACAAGGATTAGGTAATAATTTTGGGCAACAACACTCCCAGTTTGATCAGCATCAGGCTGGTGGAACATTTATTCAGAGTGCACCGACATTTCAAGTAGATCCCTTCTCAGCAATAAATGGGAACATTCAAGTGGACCCGATACAGAGTGTGCACATAGGTCAACAGACACGGAATATGGGTTCTGTTGACCTTTCAAGAGGTGGAGGGACGCAACGCTTCCAGAATGTTGGTGCCAACACTGGACAATCTGATCTCCAAATAATCTCAGCTCGTGAAATGAAGTTCCTGCCATGGAAATGACTTGAATATAGACATGGCTACCCACAAAGATAGTTCCTCATATGAGTGCACGTTTTCTCCTGTCACAAACATCTCCCAAACAATATTGTGTACTTACACTCTAACTTGTTTGGATCAATATTTTGCAAAACAAATCATTTGTCCAAATGCTTGGCAATATTAATAATAATTTCAATATGCCACATAGGGACCAGGCGTTAGACTGGTGTCATGGGTGTAAATGTATACATCCTGCTGTAAATGTATACATAAGCTTGGCTCTTCAAGAATGTACTATTTTGTGTATCATGCTTGTAATTATACGTTGTTACTTTTCCGGTTCAAAGATTGGTCAAGTACTGTTGAATATATATGTTCTCTTTGAAAGAAACTATGAAGCAGCATTTACAAAAAAATATTGACAGCATTGTAAAGTTATACCAACTTAATACCTCACATTTCAAAATCTTAAGGGATGAGTATGGTTCCAGATTTTAATAGTTATCCATACTCATCGGTGGAAACCTGAACACTGGCACCTTGGAGGGTTAGTTTATTATAATGTGGTCTTTTAATCATATGATGGTATAAGTCGACCAACACACCATGTCAAGTAGGGAACGAACATTGTTCTAGGAAGCTTGCATTCTTTCCCCGTCAGCTTCTCAATAAGTTCCGTAATCACAATATTTCAATCTAGCAAATCAGATCTGCCTTCTGTTGGTGAGAGCGGCCATTAACTTGAAGATGTGTATCGATCCTTGGTTTGCTTTCGAGGGAGCTGCTAGTAATTGATACCCCAGCTCCTACACCAATACGTTCATCTGGGGGGTTCTATGGCATGATCTGAATCATTCAAGAAGTATTTCATCATGAGTTTCTTTGGTACTGCTGATTTGGTATTTTGGTTGAATAAAATACATAACACAGATGTTCATTTCGTTATTTATTCATCCATATTGGTCGTAAGGGCAAACATATTTATTCAAGGGGCCTTCTCAACACTTTGTACAATCTTGTGAGGTTACAGCTGATCTGATAAAAGGAAATCTGTCAAGGTTTCGTCATGAAGTACATGTTTCCTTATGACGCACGTTTCTCTATGGCATACGTTTTCTTATGACACAAGTTTCCTTATGATGTACATTTGAATACACACCATATTGCTCAGTCTGATAGAAAGATGAACAGGAGCGTTTCGGTGTAGATGCTATGACTGTACAGCATCTACACAGAACGTCGCCTCGATTGCAATAAAGAAGTTGTCTATCCATAAACAAATGTTCATCCTGTTCATCATACCAGCTACCAAATGCCACTCAGAGAAGACATAGAAAGATGGGAGTGAGTGAGTGAGTGAGTATGGTTTAATGCCCCTTTTAGCAATATCCCAGCAATATCACGACGGGGAAACCAGAAATGGGCTTCATAGAAAGATGTATTCTACATTATGAGAGACCAGAACCTCTGAGGTAATAGGATTCACTTCATAGTAACTGCTTCATCAGTTTCCGGTAAACAAGCTGGTTGAAGAATGGTCAGTTCTTAACACCACATCAGCAATCTTGCAGCTACATGCAGTGGAAACAAACAATCCGACATATGAGACTTATTTCATCCTGAACAGGGCCAGGAAATGTTTGTTCATGGCTACAGCAATATTACGGCTGTGTCAAGGCGGCCTGGAAATAAACCCTTCTGGACCACATGATCCAGTGATTCATATTATGACCAGCCTCATACGCTGTCTCGTTCCATGACCTGCCAAGAACCAAGTCATTTAATCCCATTTTGTCAGCTCTTATGACAAGACGTCGTCTGGATTATGTACCCAGTATGTCCTGCGTGGCAATGAAGTTTTCTTGTAACTTCCTAACACATTAAAGTATTTCTACAGTAACCTTACACACACCAACAGTGTAACACACATCAAATCTATGTACAAATAACCCCACATTTTCACTAAGCCCTTACATATCGTTCGCATCCTATCTAAGATAGCTCAAACAATATTTTGTTCACAATTCGTTTGAGGAGCTCAACAAGCACACATAACAATGTGGACAAAACACAATAAATAAACAAAAGTAAACAAGGATGGTGTAGTATATAGTTCTGAATGGCTTGAACTCATCCAGCAAGTGTGAATATGTCACATAAAATATAATGTCACACAGCCACAAGTGCGACACACTTTAGGAATGTTTTTTGTTAGTTTTCGTGGAATGCTATGTCACCACTGCCATCATATACTTCATGGGTCTCCAAACACTTCAATGTATTCTCCCAAGGAAGTTGAGACTAAAATTTGAGTGCTGATCCACTAACATGGGTTGTGTGGAAAATCAGCAGAGTTATTATTCTGGTTGTATTTGTTATTGTTATATATTCCCTCCATCCTCCATGACCACCACAGGTAGGCAAACCCAGGAGTGGGTGAGTGAGTTTAGTTTAACACCACTTTTAGCAATATTCTAGCAATATCATCGGCGGTGAATCGAACCTGGATCTTTGGCGTGACGAGCAAATGCTTTAACCACTAGGCAAACGCTTTACACCACCATCCCAGGCAACCCCCTATAACTATTGTTGAACTTACAACAAAAGTATAATTTCCAGCCACACCAACAGCTTGTGTGGTTTTACAAATGTGTCCAGTCAGCAAAATTGTCTGTAAAAAAAATTTTCTGATTCTTCAAGTAGAACAAACTGATTGGTCATGTCTAAAACCAACTGAAACATTTCTGGTAAAAAAAAAATACTCTCTTTGTGAGTGTAACAAAAAATATTAGGAATATTTCTGATATGAATGAGTTTTCATATCAGGGAAGTTTAGCCATTTTCTTTCACCAAAACAGTTTGAATTGTAAATAACTGAAACCAATATAATTGGTCAGGACTTTTTCTGAAAACTAATTCACAAAAAGGAAGAAATGTTGATTGTTTGCAATGAGGTATGGGTAAGTGACATAATACCAACTGGATTGAAACACAAATATTGCAGGTTTCAGTCAGTGAGAAATAATTCCAGCAAGACAGACTAATATCTAAAGTAAGGTTGTTGCCAAACTCAACATCACACCTATAAAACTACATAACTTGACACAATCACTGGACAAGCTTCTATAAAAGTTAAATCAATAGCTTTGACAGTATTTTAAATTTACACTGTACTATCAAAATATTTCTGCTTTTAATGGACAACATGAACATATACAAGTCACTTCACTGACAACAGACTGGCAGATAGTGAAGATAGTTGACAGCCCAGGAATGTTCACCAACCAGTGTTCATATTTACAATACACCTATTTCGGATGTACACTGTTTGACCAATGATAATGTCCCTGCTGTCACCATACAACAGATTATACATAAATACTGACATTACAATCAATATTATCAACACACTATATACACAGGCAATAACGGACATATCACCATGATTAGAACTATGACTATGATTTGCACAATGCCCTAAGACCTAAAACAACATGCGACTAATTACTGGATCCTGTGCATGGATTTATCAAGTGTTCCAAACTAAGAGTTGATGGTACGCAATTTGGGAAAAAAATCATGCTAGTGTTCAAAATTTTACTTTGTTCAAGTTCTTATTGTCCTAAATTCTGAAAAAATGGGAAATTTCCATCCAAATTATATGATTGTATATTCTATAATTACTTCTTTTGTTGCAGACTTAGCAACAAATAACAGCGTCTGAGCAGGTCAAGATAATGTTTGTCGTAATACCTTTAACAAGAGACAAGTCAGAGCAATAAAACTGACAGATATTACTCATAAATTTGGCTTTCAAGCAAAACAAAAAGTATCCTGTGGTTTTACTGTTGCCTGGCGATATGAAAAATGTCCCTTTGAATTCATGCACTTTAAACACAGCTTGTCTTCAGTTACACATAAACATTCATTCAAAATTACTATTTTAGTAAACTTATCTGAAAAATCATTTAATGAAATGCCATCAATTCAAAGCCACACAAACTTGTACTGTTGATTCCAGATTTCTATGTTTAATATCCATGTAGTGTGATTCTTAAGACATAGAAAATAGTAACTTTCTAACAATAGTCTTTAGCAATCAGTTTTCTTATTCTTTTATGAATTGGAATGGCCTACATTTTGAAACTTTTGAGAGGGTTTTCAAAACAACTATTTCCACATGATACACATCATCTTATGCAGATCAATGATAATAAAAAGCACATCGCAATGATACTACATATGCTTATGGTTTGGCCATTACCTGAAATCAACCATGACAACATCTTTGTGATATTAAATATCCCTGTTCTAACAAACTAAAAATTACCCAAAACCAACTTGTTCTAGCAAGACTGATCTGAATGTTTCAACACAGCAATATGTAGTCATAATCATTTCAAACATCCAATTAACACTGTAAACAAGCCCCAATTGAAATGAACAGTATCAGTATCCTTAAACCACTAACTTACATTCTAATATCTTACTCTATCTGGTATCCAGGGAATGGGATAAAGAACTTGGGCCATTTTCAGGATTATTAGCCATTTTCTGAATTTGGAAAGGGCCACTGCCCTTGTATCAATAGGACACTTCAAAATTTTAATGGTCCTTTTTTTATTCTAATGTGCAAAAAGGCCCATGGCCACTGCCTTTCCCTTTTTTTATTCTAATAAATCCCTGGGTATCAGAAAGACTGATATTTCTATAAAACAACGAAACGTGCTTCAATGGCTGACAAGCAAGAAAGATGTATGCATTGAGTGGTTGACTAGCTGAGAAGTCTGAAGTGAAAGGGGAGTGGCGTCTAGTCCCATAGCCCTTCCTTTACAACTGAATCAGTGAATCATAGCCCTTCCTTTACAACTGAATCAGTGAATCAGGTGTTATGCTAATTTTTACAATATCACAGCCAGGGACACCTGAAAAGCACTTCACAGACTGTTCACATTTATGGAATCGAGCTCAACACATAAGTGTGAAGAGCAAACATGGCATCTATTAGACTACTCCACTGCCCCTTATGTTACTGGAGATTCTGTGATCTGGATTTGATCTACAGGACAGAATGCTTTGATATTGTTGCCTGTGACTTAAGACATCATTAGCTCACATAACAATTAATTTAACGATACACCTTATGCAATTCACAACTTTGGTCGTATTAAATAAATGGATTACAATCTCACAGTCCAAATAAAACAAGTAGATAATAAATATTTATTTACTTCAAAAACACGGAATTGGTAAAACAGAGTTACCTCCCATGAACAGCCTTAGCTGTCATTAAATTAATCTGACGTTATACGACAATACACAACCTTTGTTATATTAACAAATGGCTTACATCTTATAGATCACACCTAACTTAAAATATAACAATTAGATAATATTTACTTGTTAATTTGTTACAAAACATGAAATTATGAAACAGAGGTACCTCCCTTGAACAGCCTTGCTTCAACTGACTTGCATTCTCAACTTGAACAATCAACTTCTGGCATCAGGTATCAGCCATTTGATAACCAGCGCCATAAACAAACAGCAAACAAGAGATAACAAACAATGAAGCTTTTTCCATAAACAGTGGAACTCTAACTAATGGATTTGTGACGCAAGATCAGATCTGCCTTTGGTCCCTAAGGTATATGCTCCAATTTAGTTCCTGAACATTATAAATATTTTTGACAATTGCAGTGAATGAATAATGTAAAGATACCTTCTCTCCTTCACTGACACTAGAGACTGTGACACTAGTTCTGTCTTGACAACAATTCTCTACCATTAAAATTAGATCTGTTATCCCAATAGTACAGCTCTCTGAAAGAATATAGCTCACACCTCCATTGGGAGTCAAGTTATACAAACTTTTCAATCAGCCAACAGGTATCTTGGTTTCTAAACTTTCCAGATGAGCATCAAAGCATTTAGAAATGCATGTCTGATTTTGTAACCTGTAAGCATGAAAGCCTTAACATTTCTACAAGTTTGTGATATAACAGTTCTCCAAGACTCCATGTTTTGACAGTTCTCTTAAAGTCAGTGTTATAACAGTTTTCCATAAATCCATTTTATAACATTTCTTCTAAACTCAGTGTTATAACAGTTCTCCAAGACCCCACGTTATAACATTTCTCTAAGTCGATGTTAAAACACTTCTACAAGACTCCATGTTTTGACAGTTCTCCTAAAGTCAGTGTTATAACAGTTCTCCAAGACTCCATGTTATAACATTTCTCTAAGTCGATGTTATAACAGTTCTCCAAAACTCCATGCTTTGACAGTTCTCCTAGTCAGTGTTATAACAGTTATCCAAGACTCCATGTTTTGACAGTTCTCCTAAAGTCAGTGTTATAACAGTTATCCAAGACTCCATGTTATAACATTTCTCTAAGTCGATGTTATAACACTTCTACAAGACTCCATGTTTTGACAGTTCTCCTAGTCAGTGTTATAACAGTTATCCAAGACTCCATGTTTTGACAGTTCTCCTAAAGTCAGTGTTATAACAGTTCAGGAAGCTTGAGGGCAGGTAATGTTGAGTCTACACAGTTGATCCAGAAGTTGGCACAGGGAGCATGATACTGTCGGCCACCATATGTCAACTTGGCCGTCTCGTCAATCTGCTGGAATGCCTTGGAGCGGGCATCCACGTCCAGGAGACAGACACCACAGGCGTTGTGTTGAGCCACGTCACTATCAGATTTGATGATCGCATGAAAGAAGTTGAGGGTAGTTGGTTCAGGCTGTGAAAGAGAGTGTGAGCACGAGTCAACTAAATAATTTGTCCACAAACCACACATTTTCATAGATAAAGAACTATACACACATTGTGACCACATTTTGGATTAAAACAGTTAAACCACTGAAAAAGTCCCATACAGTGTCTCTGATCATAGTCATTCTGGGTTCAAGCATACAACCTTGGCCTTTTTGTATATGACCTTGATCATTTTGTATATGACCTTGACCTTTCAAACATAAAAGTTATATGTCTGGTTTACTGATTATATTCTGAAAGAAAGCTGTTTATTTCTTAAGAAGTGACTCTCATCTTAAAGGTCTTGTGTATTAGACAACATTTCAAAGTGTTTAAGCTCCACCCACTCCCCGTGTATAACCACACACTGACCAGTACTGAGGCTCCAACAAAAAAGGCCGTCAGGTTGTTCCAGGCGAGGTCGATGTCCTTCAGGAGCCTCTCCAGGGAGGCTGTCTTTATACCTAGAACGACAACACACGAACACTGTTACATGCTTGAGTACAACGTTATACCTGACAAAACACAGGTTGAATGTTTTGCCTGGCAACAGCACAGGTACAATGTTACGCCTGAAAATAAAACAGGTCAGCGTTGCTTATCTGACAATAGCTACCACGGTTACACCTGACAACACAGGTATAAGAAATTATTATAACTATCCTGGAAACTCATGGCACCTGTCTTACCTGAACCTGTCATGGCTGCCATGATTCGACAGGACACACGGTAGATTTCAATGATTCCGTTGACATACTCCGACCCCTGGGATGACTTGATGACTTCGTTACAGACCGCTGACCGACTCACAGAGTTGAAGATGTTGTTGGCATCTTTGATCATCCGACAACAGTTGTCGAAACAACGCTCCCACTGGTACTCATGGTTGTTGCTCCCCTGAGGATGAGAAATCAGCTTCTGAACATCTCGTACAATAGAACAGGATCAGACACAGAGTGAGTGAGTTTGGTTGAACACGGCACTGAAAACATTTCAGTTATATTACAGCATGTCATCTTGTGGGAGGAAAACACAATTTGTTACAGATGGCGACCACTTTGGTGAAACCAACAGGAATTGGTTTGATTGATGGAGAAAACAGTCCACACAAACTTCAACACAGTGTCCCACTGAGTGTATAAACAATCTAACATAGACGGTGTGTGGATGACTCACATGTGTCTCCCCGTCGATGTTGTACCGGTCGGCCAGCGCCCGCATCTCACCTCCCCCCACCAGCAGTGACTGCGCCATCACCGGCTGGCAGACACCTGCAACACAGGACAACATCTCACAACAATCAGTACAAGCTAGTAGTCGTAGATGACTACTGTGAGTATTTTGAAGGCTGTATCTTGATAACATATTTCTGCACTTATTGGTCTGAGGTCTCCATAAGCATCTAACTTCTTACCAGCCAGCCACTTCACAGCAAATCAAAATAACACTTCTAAACAATACTTGGCAAAGTCCTAATTTCATAAATGCATCCTTGTACAAGTCACCCTTTGAAATATTTAATCTCTTGATCTTTTGGTTTTATCAGGTAAACTGTTTTCTTGTGCATTGAAAGAAATATTAACCATGTACACATAAAGTACATGCATCACTGGTGATACACATACTGAAACCTGTTTCCATTATGAAAGATCAGTGTAACTGACTGGACATCTACTGTTAACACTGAGTCACTTGAGTCCGAAGTAAATGAAACTACGGTGACAAATGGGTAAATGGTATTCATCAGTGGACATCTAATACACATGACAATCTGGAACATTGTGGTAGTTACTTGAAGCAAAGGTACACCTTGGTTGTTTACTTGTTTTGTTTACACCTGCACTCAGCAATGTTCCAGCTATGTGGCAATAGCCTGTAAAGAATCAAGTCTGGACTAGACAATCAAGTGATTGGTATTGTGAACGATATCAGGTTACTATGATGCTATAACATGACAAGTCACCAAACATGACCACGTGATCTTTAAGACATGCGTACGTTGCTAGGAACCTGTTGTAACTGGGAATCTATAAAACAGTTTTAGTAAGCCATGAATATCATGGCAACTTACCTTGAGTCTCCCCGTTCTGCTGCCCTTCCTCCAGGAACCCCTCATCCTTCTTGTACAGCTCCAGGCTGTCCACTGACTTAGACTCCACATTGGCCGCAGCACGGGACGACCCCTCAAAGTTCCCAAACTCCACACTGGACACAGACTGACTGTCAGTGCCACCATTGTCTGAGTCCTTCTGAGTTGACACACCCTTCGTACTTGGAAACTCAAGACTAGAAATTGACTGTGAGTCTTCTCGAACCCCTTGACACTTGTCCTTCCAGCCCCAGCTGTCCATGTCCTTGGAAGAAGAGCTGTCCGTCTCCGTCAGCTGGATATCAGGTGACATGCTGTGGCCCCTTTCTTCGCTACTGCGTAAGGAGTCTGTCGTCTTGGTCTCCTGTTTGTTCTTTGAAGCACTGTAGTGATGAGACGTCACTACATACATGTTGTAAGCTGTAGTGACAGCTGTATGACGAACCATGTCATCAAGGTCATACCCCCTTGAGAATGCATTACTGTCATCCTCATCATCAATTTGATCCATAGGAGGAGGAATGCGGTCATCATCAATGTCAGATTCAAGAGAAGGCATACGCACAGATGTTTTTGTAGAGTCTTTTGATAACTTGTAACTGGCATTTGGTTCATCCCTAACCTTGAACACACCTAGCACTTCCGTTGTTTGTAAGTTTTCTTTCTTAACAGTCAGTATATTGGAATTATCTTGTACAGTATGAAAGTCTGACCAGTCACTTTGTATTTCCTGAACTTCAGGACCTGGAATGTCTGACTGAGCAAATCCACCCCAGTCGTTATCAGTTTTTGAAACCCCAGCAAAACCTTGCTGGAAATCAGAAGAAACTGGCAAAGTGGCTTTCTTGTCTAAATCTGCATCAGTCCCAACAACGGTTGACTCACCATGAGTGAAAGATGACCAGCTTTCAGCAGGAGCTGGTCTGTCCTCCACAGGTGGAGGAGCACTTGCTGCTTCAAAGTCAGCCCATTCTTCTCCCTTGTCCTCCCCTCGGTCAGAACCAAACAAACTAAGTATTGAGGCATTATCTATAGAAGCTGAAGACTGGCCTCTGCCCACATCTTTATCGGTGGACTCTGAAGGAGCTTCTGTAAATCCAGACCAGTCTTCCCCTTGTTCATCAAAGTTGGCAAAGTCCTCTTGCTTTGGCGGAGGATCTGACTGAACTTCGTTTTCTGGAACGTCATCAATGCAGAGGACCCGGAGTGCATTGTACTTGTCCTCCTCTCCCATCAAGTCAGCATCAGAAGGACCTGCTGCACCTCCTCTGTCACCCACTGGAGGAGCTTCTTGGAAGTCAGTGAACTCCGTCTCAGTAGCCAGCTTCTGAGCTGCTGCAGTCACGGTCTTCTCTGCGTGGGCTGCCTGAGTAGCGTACACATTCTTTGGAACAGGTCTGAACAAACTGGACCCACCAGGGGCAGACTTAAAATCTGTGAAATCATCCGAACCTATCGGTCTTGGTCCTTGCGATGAAGGTGGCATGGATGGTAAAGGTAAAACTGGGATCTTTGGCTGAGGCTGCACAACATGACTAGTTTTAGGAGCAAGAGATCTATGCTTAGGACTTTGGTGTTCCCTAAGTTCTTTCTTGCGATGGAACTCCTCCACGTAGGATTCAAATGCTCGGATGTCTTCATTTTCCGACTGTTCAGAGGTACTGACCTGACTGCTGTCCCGACAGTCGGTGTAGTCCTCATCCTCCAGGCTGGGAGTGCTGTGTCCTGGAGGCATAAGGTAGATACAGCTTATAGTAACAGTCATGTAAACACTGGCCACAATATACAACACAGGTGGAAGAGTCGTTCATCCGTCCAGTCACCACGAAGAAGTATACTGGTACATAACCTTGTACTTGAGTCTGACCATTTTCTATTCAGGGGATTATTTGCAGCAAGACAATTTCTTTAGTTTCTGCTTCAAGGCAGACAATTTGTTTCTTATGAAAGGAGCCAGGTAATTTCTTATGGGAGGTTGCAAGGAAAATAAAACTTTTGTGTTTATTGGTGATGGAGGAAGGAAGTGCTGACAAAACCTATGACTTACCATGGATATGAGTAATAAAGTTTTAATTTTTTAGAGGAATATGTAACTGTTGGTTAGTGAGTGAGTAAGTTTAGTTTTACGCAGCACTCGGCAATATTCCAGCTATATGGCGGTAGGTCTGTAAATAATCGACTCTGGACCAGACAATCCAGTGATCAACAGCATGAGCATTGATCTACACAATTGGGAACCGATGACATGTGTCAACCAATCCCGTTAGTCACCTCTTATGACAAGCACGGGTTACTGAAGATCAATATTCTAACACAGACCTTCATGGGTAGTACTGACGGTTAAGCATCTGAAATGTTAACATGGTTTAAGCATATTTTCATCCCGTTTCTGCATAAGCATAAATGTTTTCAATTTCTCAAAATGAACACATGACTTTGAGGAAGCGCTTGTAACAACAGTCCACATTCTGTATGTTTAGAAATGCTGTAATATTTTATGTCATTTGTAATCTGTGTCAGAACAGACCAACAAGTGATTGATAATATGAGTACATATCTAAAGCTCAATCTACTGGGGACCACTTTATATAACTGAAACTTCTTCTGACACATTCTATTAGCATGACAAATAGAGAAAAAATCAGTTTCTTTCATGTCGAAAAAGGTTGACTGAGAAATTTTTCAAATAATAAATAGATATCTTTTTCTTTTGAGGTGTTCTTTGTTCCTAATCTTGTCAATTTCAGCACTAATTGCAGTAGCCCAGGGCAATAGCTTTTTGGAAGACTAGTACAGAAAACTTGTAGAAACCTTATATCACTAGATAGTCGTCAGAGTATGAACCTAATCCTGTCTAAACAGGACAAAAATGTTTACGATTCAGATATGACTTGTAGATACCTGAAGTATTTGAAACTGTTGAGTGAATGAGTAAGTTAGTTGGGTTTCACGCTGCTTTTAGCAATATTCCAGCAATATCACAGCAGGGGACACCAGAAATGGGCTTCACACATTGTACCCATGTGGGGAATCAAACCAGGATCTTCAGCGTGACGAGCGAACATCTTACCAACTAGGCACCTCCTACGCCACTCAAAAACTGTCAAAACAGCCCTCAAATACAAAGAGTCAACAACAGCTATCTAAACTGGATTTATATTTTTCTGGAGCATAATTTAGTGGTATCTGAAGATGCTGAAAGAAACTGTGGGCCTGGTTTATGTGCCATGTATATATGCAGCACACGACAGACATGATATCTCAGAATATTTGCATTAAGTGCCATATCATATAAATATCCAGTTCAGTTTGCTGACAGCAATACGGTCTCCATAGATGGACTGCATATCATCATCATACCAAAGTCGGATGCAGTCAACTTGTTACTGGTCTGAAAAAAAGTGGGGATGCTCACGCCCAACACCTGGTTTACGATCATTCCTCGTCCGCATCGTCACAAAAACAAATGTAACACAAAATGTTCAGAATTTCTTAATTGCCAAACAAATATTTTGAACATATCGTTTTTAAATAGTTCTTAAATGAAAATGACGTCAATGTCAAAATGATGAAAATGACAATAAAAATGGTAATTATCTATTTCATGAAAGTAATCTGGATTGTTTGCTGTGTTGAACCCAAGGACCCCAAGCATAACAGAACATAATCCAAGCTTCATGCAAACAAACACATTGTTTAAGACGAGAACCATTAATTACTATTCACGGTACCTGTGCAATAAGCATGGGAGAGTGGGTGATACCGACAAACATCTTTCGACATGCTGCAGGTTTGTGTTGGCACCTTGTTTCTCATAGTGAGCACTGATTATGACAAGAAATGGATAAGAACTGGAATAAGTGAGTGAGTGGTTCAAACGCTGTGAACAGTATAGTGAGTTATAGGGTGTCAGCTTGATGTGGGGGGAAATGAGTGGAGGATGGGATTGGGGAGAGGGGAAGGGGGACAGGAGAGGGGCTGGGATGGGAATAGGAGTGGGGTGATGGGATGGGCATTAGGGACAGGGGTTGGTGGATGGGGTGATGGGATTGGGGACGGTGGATGGAAGTGATGGGGATTGGGGTGTGGTATGATTGGAAGGGGGTGGGGACGAGGGTGGTGTGGGGCTATTGGATACAGGGTGGGGCTATGGGGTGGGGCTATGGGGATGGGATGGATTTGGGTGATGAGGAAAGGGGTCTGGTCATCAGGACATGGGTGAGGTGATGGGGCTAGGGGCGAGGGTGACAGTGGGGACAGGGCTGGGTTAGGGTGATGGGGTTGGGTGACTGAGAAATGGGTGGGGGTGAGTGATGGGTGGGATGAACGGCACTGAACTAGGTGAAGTTTAGGACAGATGTCACTGTAGCACTGGCAGGGTAGGAACCGTTGGTCATGTACAAGACAACTTTATGTAAACAACTAGATACTGGAACAAAATACTAGACCTACTAGATTTACACTAGTCTGAGACACAGAGCTGTGTTTAACCCTGACAGTGAGTGAGTGAGTTTGATTTTACACCACTTTCAGCAATATTCCAGCCATATCAGGGGACCCCAGAACGGGCTTCACACAATGTACCCATGTGGGGAATCGAACCCGGTCTTCAGCATGATGAGCAAATGCTTTAACCCTTAACCTAACCCACCGACCCTCTTAGGCTCTAACCCTGATAGGAAATGGGAGCTTAGAAGACTGTCTCTCACTGTCTCTCACTGTCTCTCACTGTCCCTGGCTTGACAAGTTGCAGTCACTTAACATTTCTAAAAAAGTCAAACTTTAAATAGTTCCCTGGTGAAATTGCTTATGTGTCGGTTCCAACATTACAAGCTGCCATCAGTTAAACAAGTTATAATCCAGGCAATATCAACATATTCAATGATCAAACTTAAGTGAAACTCAACTCAACAAGCAAATCTTTAGCTATACCTACAAAACATGAAAAACACACAACTGTAGCATATTCAAGCAAGGAAATCTGAAAAACATGCTAATTTTAAAATAGTCAGTTGATAATGAAATGTTCATGCAAGAAAATATACCTTTGTTATTTAGCTAGGAGGATACAGGCAGTTGCAGCATGTGAATATTCGGTTGGAGGGTTTCTTAATGTATTTGTCATGATTAATGGGTAATAACAATAATCTTTTAAGGAATTGAAATAATTGTACTGTAACACATGTCAGTATTACATCCAGGTATTGTGATTAAATATCCTTAACCTGTTAAAAGTTGTTAGAATGTTGGACTCATTATTTTAATATACTTTATCATTTTAACCAGAACAAAAGGAAATTTGCCACCAGTGTTAAAATAAATATACAGAGAGTATTATTTAAAGTAACACCACTACATTAATAGAGTCCTAATCAGCTTTTCCAGACCATTAGAAATCAGAATCTTAACTATCACATTTGTTCATCAACAGTTTGATTGTGCTCATTTGATGCCAAACTCAGCTGTCTTCCAGCTGTCAGTTACCAACCCCTACTGATCAGATCCGGACCAGACAATCCAGTGATTGATAATGTGTGCAGCTATACAGGGTATGATGGCATGCAGTCAAGTCACCAGAGTTGACTGCCCAATCCAGTTCCTTGCCTAATAGGACAGTATTGGCCAAATGGGACCGATTCTCATCCAGTATTCCAACATGGTTCAGATTCATAATAAGGAATGAATGTTGACAGCAAATTACTCCTCATTTTTCTAAAAATCCAAATTCAGTTATAATAACACTAGTCTAAATTGTATTTGATAAGTCATTACCTATGACAATGAGCTGACTGACTGACTGAGTTTGGTTTTACACCGCTTTTAGCAATATTCCAGCAACATCACAGCGGGGGACACCAGAAATGGGCTTCACAAATTGTACCCATGTGGGGATTCGAACCCGGGTCTTTGGCGTGACGAGCCAACGCTTTAACCACTAGCTACCCCACCGCCCCTATGACAATGAGGTTAGTTTTATGCTGCTATTAGTAATATTCCAGCAATATCATGGTGGGGACACCAGAAATGGGCTTCACACATTGAACTCATGGGTACTCAAATCTGGGTGTTCAACGTGAACGCTTTAACCACTAGGCTACCACACCCCTCTATGAAAATGAAATTCATTCACATTTCCGTTTTCTACTTAAACCTGAATAATTTAAAAAGGATGATTTGAGGATTGTATTTAAAATCTTACAAAGGAAAAGGCTGTAATTTGGGCAATAAGTTCAAAACTTGTTATGGCCCATACATAGAAACAAGTACTTTTCTAACAATTTCCAACCCAACTAAAAGAGCTATTCCACACGTCAGGTCAGCATCTTCATCCTTGACCACTGAAATAAACATATGTGATGACATGCTCACTTTCAGAAGCCAAAACATCACAAAACATCATCGGGCAACACAAACAAAGCACCCAGCCGGAACACCTGGAGGGAACAAGGGAGATAATTAACATGCAGTACCTTTCGGATCTGAGTCGTGCTTAGAGGGATGGGCTGAAACAGTGCAAATAAAGTTACACTCAACAAAGGAAAATCAAATTAGCCGAGGGAGCTGTCATAGAATATAATGAAACTGTCAGTCCTGGTTTGTCATAGAGTGAGTGAGTGAGTTGGGTTTTACGCCGCTTTTAGCAATATTCCAGCATTATCACGGCAGGGGGCACACCAAAAATGGGCTTCACACATTGTACCCATGTAGGGAATCAAACCCGGGTCTGTGGCGTGACAAGTGAACGCTTTAACCACTAGGCTACCCCACTGCCCCCCCTGGTTTGTCATAGAGAGTTATGTATGAAGTGATTATGTAATTTACTGTAACCATTTACTTATAATATTTATATTGTGATGTTATATTAACCAATGTCAACAGCAAACTTTGTATGTATTACACAAGTTCAGGCAGACTGAAGATCTTACATTACAGTTGATAAACAAAAATTGTTCAATATCTGTAAAAAGTCACTAGTCAAAGCTAAGCCTTCTCTGCTTACTGGGAATATTTGTACATCCATCTCAAAGCAAATCCTCTGATGAGGTATTATTTGACCCTCTATTCTTTCTAAACAGCATCTACATTTCTCATCAGAAGCTCAATTTCAACAAGCTATTAGTTGGAACAAGCAAGTAAATAAGTAGTAAAATGACTCAATTGGCCAATGTCAAGATTAAATAAAATAAAAAATGCTGCCAACAGACAAAATCAGGCGTCTAGACTGAACCACAGACTTTTACCATTTGTGTTTTTATGAAAAGTGTTTTTTATTCATCACTGATAATATTCATAATTTAGCTGTTTGGACAGTCTGTGTCCATATTGTCCAATACTGACTGACTGACTGACTTTGAGTTTAGTTTCGCCGCCTTTAGCAATATTCCAGCAACATCACGGCAGGGGACACCAGAAATGGGCTTCACACATTGTACCCATGTGGGGATTCGAACCCGGGTCTTCGGCGTGACGAGCGAACGCTTTAACCACTAGGCTACCCCACCGCCCTGTCCAATACTGACTGGTACAGCAAAGAAGGGAACATATTCTGTAAAACGTGGAAAAGTTGAATCTAAGTTTAGTCCTGTAAGCATGACAGGGTTTACCCATTAAGCTTCTGCTGAAGATATATATCATAACCCAAAATGAAGATGATGATGTTGACGATGATGGCAATGATGATGAAGGTGATGACAAACATGGTAAGAAATGGATAATAATAATGCACTCAAGGGAAGCAACTCTGAACAGTGAATCGCATCACCTTTGATGACTTGTGTCGCTGAATATGACTACGTCTTGTATACTCACAACAATGTAAATTGACCAGGTAGACTTCAAACAAACATTATGACTTGTGTAGTCTCCCTTTAATAAAGGGCAGTTACTCAAGCAGTCAGATCCATAGTTGGCTGTATAAGATTATCACTGACAGAGTTAAGTTTTTCATGTTTTATATAATCCGTGCTTACAACCTTATAGAATTACATTTGTTTTGCTTACAAGGTACTTCCACAAAAGTTTCACCTGAAACTACAAAAGCAGATGTCACGGACAAACTAATTAGCTTGTGACGTAATATTTTCTCTCAATCCAGCTAAACTTGAAAGGTTCAGGTACTATCTAAGAGACATATTTTCCAGTGATCAAATGTAAGAATATCAACATATGATAAAGAAGTTATCACGCTTGTTTGTTCTCAGATTGTAAAGATCCTGTACGAGGAATGCATGACTTGTACTCATCAGTGTTTGCTGTATGCAACATAGTCCTACTTCAACATGGTATTGTCACAGGGTGTGGAAAATCAGTGCCCAACCTTCCCCATCCCATTACATAATATCACCAAACAACAGAAATATTGGTATACAAACTTGAGTTAATTTTGTCAAGACTGACTGACTGACTGAGTTTTGGTTTTACGTCGCTTTTAGCAATATTCCAGCAACATCACAGCGGGGGACACCAGAAATGGGCTTCACACATTGTACCCATGTGGGGATTCGAACCCGGGTCCTCGGCGTGACGAGCCAACGCTTTAACCACTAGGCTACCCCACCGCCCCAATTTTGTCAAGACATATCAGAATTTTGTGTGTGACTTTTAGATACATCACACCTTGGATCGTTCATATGTTCCAGGCTTGTAGTTTCTGAGGGGTAAGAAGATGGAAAAAAACACTCTTACAAACCAGAGGTAAATGAAGGTCAATGATCAAAGCTTAATAAAAAAATCAAACTATGCCAATAAATGCATTAGATGTTAAACAGCACAAAAAATGGAATGTGCTTGTCATAGTCCTTTAGGACACATGCAGAAATGGCAGAGTTAAAAGCAAAAGTGATACTTTCAATATGGCCGTCTTGGCAGACATGTCAGATCACAATACTTTGAGCCTTACTTAAAGAAATCAGAGCTGGTATCAGTTAATGCAAAGTTGAAGTTTCAAATTACATTACACTTTTAGAGTCTCTGACATGTCCCTGTTTGAAAGGTATTGATGGATTGACAGACAGTCATTATGCCTAAGCCCTCTGAAGGCCAAAAAGATGGTTTCTAAGTATGAAAAGAAACAAAACAGATTCCCAACAGAGACTATCTAGTAAATACCATAATGGATAATAAGAAATAGCAGCAAAAGTTTAAAAAAATATCCAGCAATGCAAACAGTGATAAAATATTTCACAAAATGTCCCTCGGAGAAAAATAAATAACCTAAAAGAATAGTCATGGCCAAAGGGACATAACTCTGTCTAGCACAGTGCGATGTCTAAGTAGGCTCTCTCCCAGTGCCTCTATGAACATAGAGTTGATTAGTAAGTCTGGTACAGATCATTAACAGTTTATCAACAAGAATTGGAATGCTCAAATGATAACGATGCCACTTCTGACCCATATTTGTGCCTGAAGAAAACATTGTTGGCCTACAATGCTGATAAAGATTGCTACCACTACATCAAGTTTGTACTTTAAAGAAAACTTTTGAGATTTTAGTCAAGACTAAGTGAAAAAACAAAAAGTGTGTGTCAGAGATTTTCATTCCTGAGAATAGCTGTGGACAAGATACTGGTCAGTCACTCGGACCACATTATGGACTCAATGTTTAGTCTCTATCCAACTGATGCACTCAGGGACAGGGCAAGACGTCTGGGGCAGTGACAAGGGGGACTGTATAACATGCCCCTAAATGGAGATTTCTTGAAGATATTTTCCCTGTAGACTGAGTACTGGATGCTCTTCCAATGGAGGCTCCAAGAAAGGAAGCTCTATGTATGGGAGTCTCTCAGTACAGGGAAACTCTAAGCCCAAGAGGCTCTGAGTATGGGGAGTCTGAGCAAATGGGGCTCAAGAATGAGTATGTGTTTCTGGAAGCAAATAGTAATCTGAGTGTGGGAGCCTTTAGGCACCTAGGGCTCCTACTACAGGAGACTTTCGGCATGGGGGTTTACACGAACAGAAGTATGGGTACTGTAGGCTCTAATTAGTGGCGCGAAGTAAGGACATTTCAGGTAAAGGAAGCTCTCTAAGGACATGAGTACAGGTGTGCCACACAGTTCTGAGTATGGGTGATTTAAAGTATAGGATTGTCAAAGAAAGGGAGGAAGGCTCTGAGTAAGGGAGGTAATTCACTTTCAGATATTGGGGTGGTACCAGTAATAAGGGTTGTGCTCAAAGAACGCTCTTAGTGCAAGAGGTTCAAAGGACAGAAGGCTGAGTAAGGGGGGTAATTCACTTTCAGATATTGGGGTGGTACCAGTAATAAGGGTTGTGCTCAAAGAACGCCCTTATTGCAAGAGGCTCAAAGGACAGAAGGATCCGAGTAAGGGAGGTAATTTACCACAAGACTACTGGGGCAGTACCAGTAATAAGGGTTGTGCACCAAGAACGCCTTAGTACAAGAGGCTCTAAGGACAGAAGGCTCTGAGTTGGGGAGGTCAATGACCACCAGACCATTGGGTCAGCACTAGGAATAAGGGTTGTTAACACAGGGGGCTCCTAGTACAAGGACAATCAGTACAAGAGGGTCTCAGCAGAGGAGCGTCATAGTATGGCTTGTCACTGACCCGTGGAGGAGTCGCTGCTGCAGAAGAAGCTCCTGACGTTGGAGTTGTACTTGTCATCCGGCGATATCATCTCCATCTCTGGGTCCAGCTTTGGAGCTGATATGATGTAACTATGGAAACAAAACAGGTTATCAGTTGACAGAAGAGTTTTAGTGAGTGAGTGAGTTTTACGCAGCTCTTAGCCATATTCCTGCAATATCACGGCAGGATACACCAGGAATGGGCTTCACAGACTGTACCCATGTGGGGAATTGAACCTGGGTCTTCACTGTGATGAGCAAACGTAGAAACCATTAGGCTACCCCAACACCCCAAAAGAGTTTTAAGGGATTTCAAAGAACTACCGGTTTCACTTGTGACGATAATGACTGTTACAGTGGAAGAGTCACCTTAATTCAACGGTTGCATCATGAAGCCAAGAAGACAACAAGTTAATGATATTTGATTTACAACACAGATACATACCCTGGTAAGGACAATCATATTCTACATTTTCTATGGAATATGGGTAGAAAATTGAAAATTGTGTACCATAGATTTTTTTGGTAATTGGCAATAGTGGGTTGGTCAGTGCGACAGAAACTGTTTTAAAAAGCAGTATCCTGAAAATGGCTGCAATTAACAGTATTTTTATAGCACTTTTGGAACAAACCAAGCGTGTTGATTCAGGGTTTAGTGGTACAAATTTCACGGAGAAAGTTTCAAATGCCACTGGCCTAAATGACCTTGACATTGGTTCAACTGCACACTCAACAATATTTCAGTCAGCTTCATCCAGAAGGAAGGCAGTGTCGACGAAGGTCTTAGATGTTTACTCCTTTGCAAGCAAACAAGTGTAGGGATGGAGTTGGCAACCTGAGACACAAACTAAGGACAAAAAGTATTCAAACCCACGAACACAAGTTTCTGTTAGGGTAAGTGATGCAACTCAGCACAGTCAGTCACAGCTCCTCAGACAACACGGTCACCTGTACATGAGTTAGGAATATGAACTGTGATCTAAAACCAGATACAAGTCATAGGCTGGATTTCTAATACTTACGGAGGTTTTTCTTCCTTGAGAGGAGGTGGTGTCGGTAATACTGCAGGTGCCCCGCCAATGAAGTCGCCATAACTGTCATCTGGAAACAAAAATCTTGTATAACAAAACACCACACTACATACAGTAAACTACCTTATCACGAACATGCTTAAAACAAACTGATGCATTAACAAACTGATATTTGGGTCCCAGGCACTTACTGAGCATCTTACTCAAAATGCGTATAATGATGGTCCCTATAAGTTAATTAAAACCATAGTTTAAATGACTCTAGGTATGACACAGACCAGGGCTCCAGATAATGTTTCATGATCAGAAGTACGTACTCCTTATTTATTCAATATAGGAGTACTGGAAAACCTTAAGCCTACATTTAGAGTACTGAATGGAATTTAATGGAGTATCAGTAATCTTGTGTTTCGTTTCATATATGCACCACAACATTGCTAGTCTTGTGTAAACAGGCCAATAAACAATAAAACAACACTCTTTCAGATAAATACGTCTGTAAATGATTCCAAGACCGTACAGCATTGCTGTGGTGCGTATGTGCTACGTTTTCTAACTTATTTCCTACCTTATCGTGCATATTTTTTATCCGTACATACGCAGGTACGGCCCTTATCTGGAGCCCTGACAGACAGAGTCGAACCATAGACTTTCTTCCAAGGCAAACACTCAATCCACTAGACCATAGAAGTGGTAACAGAGATAATAGTGAAAAGCTGTATGACAAATGATGGCGTCACTTCTGTCCTACAGATATCATCTTCCAGGACAACATACCTGCTGCCTTTTTGGCAGGCTGTGAGGGCGCAGGGGCTGTTTGAAAGTCAGCAAAGTCATCATCTGCCACAGGGACGGTGGGGACAGGCTGTGGGGGTGGAGCTTGTTGAGGCGGGGCTTGGTATGGGGGTGGAGGCTGCTGGAAGCCAAGTGGAGGACCCATTTGGTTGGGAGGAGGCATGGCAGGACCTCCTTGAGCTGGAACATCTGAAGGAAAACATTTGTAGAACTGTCATTATCTTGGCAACATATCACAATCTTTCCATGTTCAAAGTGTATCTGAATTTCTATCAACTCTATGAAATCCATATTTAAAAAAGTGATCGTGCGGAAAATAGCATTCGGAATCGTTCCAGTTTTGAGGTAACGGTTCAAACGGTATGTTCGAATGTTAACTTTCACGATTTAGTAAGCTGTGTTCTGATTGGTCAGTCCAAAAGGTTAGCTGACGCGACCTTCTACTAGGTTTTGTTGGACTCAGTATAGCAGTGTAACGAAAAACACTGAGCCTAAGTTTACTTAGACTGATTCTGTGTTATGCCACATGCACTATGGAGAGGTGTGTTTGGGTGAGATGTTTTTCCTCTTCTTGGGGAATATAACACAGAGTATATCTTGGTTTAAGTGAATGAGAAGCAGAAAATACGTATGAAGATAAGGAAAATTTTGGACTTTTGTAAATACTTCAATTCTCAGTGTTTGACTGGTTTGTTTTACGCCGCACTCAGCAATATTCCAGCTACATGGCAGCGGTCTGTAAATAATTGTGTCTGGACCAGATAATCCAGTGATCAACAGCATGAGCATCAATCTACCCAATTCGGATATGACCACATGTCTCAACCAAGTCAGCGAGCCTGGCCACCTGATCCCATTAGTCACCTCTTACGACAAGCATGGGTTACTGAAGACCAATTCTAACTGGATCTTCACAAGGGTCTCATTGTTTGAAGTAAAATGTGGTGATTGACACTGCCTTCTGGAAGTGCAACTTTGCCATTGAGATACTGCATGCATGCTTAACCTAAATCAACACACACCTAATAACACTTTCATTAACTCAAACTTTGAACAATGAATTTAACTAACTGGTATGAGGAATTGTGGCAGCATTCTGAGTCCCTGGTTGAGGGCCCATCCATTGTCCTTGAGTATTGTTTATCATGGCCTCCCCATTGGGTGCCACTGTTGCCTGGTTACCAGGTATGTGTGGTCCCATTGGTTGACCTGCCACTGGAACCTGGCCCTGATTGGTTCCTGGTTGTGTTGGCATCGCAACTGACTGTGGGCCAAGGAATGGCACCGGTGGCTGAGGACACCTCAGGAGGATGTCCAGAGAAGCAACTGTGTAGTTGTTCTGAAGGAGAAAGCACATTGGAAACAATCAGCTAGTTCTGTCAGCTGATACATCAATAAATACATCGCAAATTATTTCAAGACATGTGATTGGGTATCTTAAACCTAAAATTAATAGCCCACACCTCCTGGCAGCTAATTGTCTCCTTATCGCCTGACAAAGAGTGGGAGAGGCTTGTGTTCATTTTGTTTGTTGTCTAATGCCACACTCAGCAATATTCCAGCTATATGACGGCGCTCTGTAAATAATCGAGGCTGCTTGTCCAGACAATCCACTGATCAACAGCATGAGCATCTTTCTACGCAATTGGGATACAATATATGTCAAATATGGGAGCCTGACCACCAAACCCTGTTAACTGCCTCTTATGACAAGCAATTGGGTGGGTAAAGACCAATTTTACCCCGGATTTTCACAGGTGGGGAATGGGTTGAGTTCCATTATGGTTACCAAACAATAAATAAGGAATAGGCCATATCATCCCAAAATTGCTTCCATAGGAGACACATGTTGGGTGAGACTGGATCACAATGAACTCACACCATTGGGATGTCGTCATTCACCATGATGTCACATTCAAAACAGATCACAAATATCTCTGCCACTAAGGATACTCTGCAATATTTGGTACTCTAGCTATTACAAGTTACAAATAGAAATGTAGGAAAACGGTTTAATATCCTCAGCAAATCTTCAGGTTATATTAACTTGTATTGACATAGTTGTCACAAAAGACAAATACTTCTTTACACATCACATGACTTACTTGTGTGAGAGCAATAATGGCCAGTATGGCAAACAGTTCTGGTTTAGACAGCTGACCCGGGGTGTCCTTGTTGGCCATCTGCCAGATCAAACCCAGCAACTCCCGGGGCAGACCGCTCAGCATTAGAATCGGGTACACCCGGTCTGTCTCAATCTTTCCTTCTCTGTAAGGAAGGAGTCGGAGCTGGTTACCACATAGAACACAACACAATCAGTTCTATTACTGGTGTTCTGTACAACCTAAATTATTATGAGATGACCCCTCTTACGCTGTCATTACCTATACCGCTGTGTAGCATGTGTGTGTTTGCAGTGTTCCTCCAACCATCGTGCCCCGTCTGTTAAATATGTCAACAGATAACAACATCATATTCTTTTCAACAACCATTTAAACAACTAAAAAAGTCAGAAAGTGAGTTCAGTTTTACACACGTTCAGCAATATTCCAGCAATATCACAGTATGGGGGCACCAGAAATGGACTTCACAGATTGTACCCATGTGGGGAATCAAATCCAGGTATTCCGTGTGTGAGCGAAAGCCTTAACCACTAGGCTACGCCCACTCCACCCACAGGCCTAAAAACAGCAGATATTGTTGGGTAGAGGGCATTCATTGTCACGTACCATTTTGTCATTTAATAGACTGTTCCCAATATTTTGTTATTTTACAATTCATCATTCTCATTATGAGACTAAGAGACTTCGAGCCCGATAGGTGCTATATGATCAGTCCTACTCACACTGTGACTGCCTCCATCACCTGTCTGTACAGAGGGGGAAGCTGATCATCAGGTAGCTCACACCACACAGGTAAACCAGCACCTGTCTTAGCAACTACAGCTTTACCTGCCCCTGACGAGTGACGTCTCTTGGTTGTCTTGGCAACCGGAGCAGGAGGAGGAGCTGTAAGATAGAGGATAATTTTGGTTATCATATATACAACTTAAGCTCATTAGCTGTAGATGTAAGACTTCTGAATTTTCACCCTTGAGCATATTTATATGTATCACTCAAACACAGGGGCGGATCCAGAAGGGTGTGTGAGGGTGCGCACCCTACCACCCCCCTTCTCCCCACAAAAGATTTCTCTGAGGAGCATTTCTCTACTCTTTGGACTTCATGATTTATGTGCACCAAACTTTCTCCAAAACCCTGGATCCGCCCCGGCAACAGTCTTGAAGCATTTCCTTTTTCAACACTTTTCTGTCTCACTTGGTATATTTTTAGCTCTTTCAAATCTTCAATGTGTCTATTGTTTAATCCCACCCTCCAACTTGATTGATATAATGAGCATCGGTTCACGTCATCAGAGTCACACAATTCAGCCTGACCACCTAATCCACTCAATCATCTCTAACGTCAGACACTACCTGGGATTACTTCTATCAGGAAGTGGTTTTACCAGGAAATGGGAACATAATGGATACAAGAACAACATGAGAAATGTTGGGTGTCTCACGTTCTGTAGCAAAGAGTCCATCCAGATTATCATGTCCTGTCCATTGGCGTGAGGAGCCACTCTGGTGGAAGGAGGGGATGTTGGCGTGGTGTTCTATATGCACCTCCTTCAGGGACGGCTTGTGGAACTGCTTGGCTCTCTGGGGGGCGTTCAGGTCGGAGCACTCCATCATCATGGCCATCAGGTCAGGGGCTGTAGACATGGGGGTAGCAATAAGGGCAGTCACACGTCACTCATATATAGATGCATTGGGTTTTGCTTGTTTATTGTTCAATATACATTCCACATATATGGTGGCTGTCAGTAAATAATCGAGTCTGGACCTGACAATCCTGTGATCAAAAGAATGAGCATCTATCCACGCAACTGGGATATGGTGACACATGTCAATCAAGTCAGCAAGCCTGACCACCCGATCCTGTTAGCAAATGTAAGCTTTATAATTAAATACACAATGTGCCAACCCATGTATAGAATCCTGTCTTGATCCTGTATTCAGTATCCGTGAGTGAGTGAGTGAGTGAGTGAGTGAGTGAGTGAGTGAGTGAGTGAGTGAGAGTGAGTGAGTGAGTGAGTGAGTGAGTGAGTGAGTGAGTGAGTGAGTGAGTGAGTGAGTGAGTGAGTGAGTGAGTGAGTGAGTGAGTGAGTGAGTGATACTATACTGTAACACCACATCATTACACAACTATTCATATTGAAGATGAAGGACCATGGCCTTGTCACAAGCTGGTCCCCAAGATCCAACATCAGAGTACTATGCACCATCTCGGCCATCCAAATCGTATTTGATTGTTTAGCCATAAATTTACACATTTGATAATCACCTTTTTTTTCCTCCTTCAGCTTCTTTTCAGCCTGTGGACCTGCTGTTCCACTTGAATGCATATCGTTGCTTGGTCCAGGAGGTTGAATGCTTGGGCCGGGTGGGAGCATGCTTGGGCCAGGAGGCAACATGCTTGGGCCGGGAGGGAGCATACTTGGGCCAAGCTGACCGCCATCTGCTGGGGCAAGGTTAGATGGTGGAGTGGCCATTGATGATTGTCCAGATGGGACGGACGGTCCCTGCATGAAGTCACCAAATCCGTCGTCCTCAGTTGACTTGGAGGCTGCAATAAAACATTTTGGAATGCTGTGTTTGATTGACAAAAGGTTTCCAAACATCTTTCTTGTCAATACCTGTTAAGATGGTTATGTGTTAAGTTTATCCTAATGAAATTATTTTGGCAAAAATGGTGAGTAAATTGATCCCATCGTAGATGAAAAACACTACCTGAAAGGCCCTACATCGTCGTCAAGAGTGAGTGAGTGAGTTTAGTTTTACGCCACTTTTAGCAATATTCCAGCAATATCACGGCGGGGGACACCGGAAATGGGCTTCACACATTGTACCCATGTGGGAAATTGAACCCGGGTCTTCGGCGTGACAAGCGAACGCTTTAACCACTAGGCTACCCCACCACCCTCGTCGTAAAGATGGAAAAATGCTGGGAGACAGCATCAGAAACATTAAGTATGAGATATTGCTGTGTATGAGATGTAAAATTAGTACTCATAGGTTTTTCTGGTATTGTCTGAAGTCCCCATCCATTGAATCCTTTCACGAAGGTGGTGATGGAGGAGGAACAGTTTATACATAACATGCTGAAGATAGTTAGAGGATCAAATCCAGAATATATATTGGCGTTAATGTCTCACCTGGTTGTTGAGGTTTGGGGGACATTCTAGTCTTGGGCTTCTCTGCTCCAAACATGTTGGCTATAAGTCTGTCGGCATCGGCTGTGATGGCACCAGGTTTCCTGAACTGCTTCAGACGCTGCTGCTGTACCTGGAACTGTCGTTCCTTCTCACTCAACTCCTTCTTGGGGCGCGTCGACACGGTACCAGTTCTGACACACAGTGAAGAAAATAGCACTTTGGTTACAACTTTGTAATGAAACTAGGAAAAGGGTTGAAATATGTTATGAATTAGGTTTTTGTTTCAGTGACTAAAGGCTCCACACATAGATCTCATATTATTAGACAGTTGTGATAATGAAATTTTTAGAATAAAATTAATATTTTATACTTATCCTGACTCATGCTTATTGCTTGTCTTCTTCTTCTTGCGAACATAGTGGAACACATGTATCTCCCAATTGAAGTTCCCTTCAATTAAAAAATCACTAATTAGTACTCACCACAAGTTACCTCCCTTCCACAAGCGCGGGAACGAGGGCGCCACCTCCACCCATGTGCCTCACTCTCTCCTTATGATTCGAGCCCGACACTTTATTTTTCCGAAGAAATCCAAAGAGTTAAGTGGACAGGACGGGAGGGCTTACCTCATGAGTCAGGATAAGTATAAAATATTAATTTTACTCTAAAAATTTCATATTTTTCCTTATCCTGACTCATGCTTATTGCTTGTAGAATCTGACGGAACAGGAGGTGGGAATATATATACTTTGCATTTTAATAATTAGTGATTTAAACTGTGATGATTGTAATAACCCTATGGGAACTTCATAAAGGCACTGAACTGATGAATTCCTGCTGTTTAACTTATCAGCTGCCATATAAAGGTTATTACAATTTATTGAATATGATAAAAGTATATACAACATTAATGTAAGCTGAAGCTATTAATGTGATAGTATAAACTTCTGTGAGTTTATAGTGGATACTTTTATAAATTAACCAAAGTATTAAGCTTAAGATATGCATATATTTAAGCTATAATAGTATAGTACAGTGCTTAAGATATAATTATAACTTAAGCTGTATAATAGTAACCAACTCTTTAGAGTTTGTTAGCTAATACATTTATGCATATGACCATATGATCATGCTTTAAGGATTGATGAAACTTAAGCTGAACATATATATAGTAGCAAAACTCCTAGGAGTTGTAAGCTTATATATAGTATGATATAAAAACCATAGTACTGAGCTTAAGATAATAAATTAAACTTAAGCAAAATATATAGATAGCATGTAGCTATTAGTACTGTTATCAGATAAGTATAAAATCTGTAAGATAGACTTATCTTCTCCGTGGAACTGTCAACTGTTGAGCGAGGGACCATGGGACCGAAATGGTGGATACCTGAGACGCGTCCTCGGTGGTGATATCTCTCAGATAGTGGTTGGCAAACACCATATCGGATCTCCAGAAACATCCCTCCATTATGGTATTCAACGAGCAATTCCCATGTAGAGCGAGAGTTGAGGCTAGCCTTCTAATTCGCGGAGGATTAGAAGCTCTTGGAGGGTCGAGACCTGCAGCCTTGTAGGCACGTAGTATGACAGTTCTGATCCAGATAGAGATCGTGAGTACGTGAGACTCCGCTCATGTAGCTGTAGATATAGGGATAAATAATCTCTTGAATTTCCCTCTGCTCTGTTTGGATCGCTGGAGATATATTTTCAGTGCCCTCACTGGGCATAGTGATAGATCCATCGTATCATGCGGTCCAAGTATGGATGAGAGAGCTGGGACGCGGAATAATCTGTCTGGTTGACCTGGCAGTTGGTTTTCGCTATAAAATCCCAGCCAAGTCCCAGATGAGCCGATGTTATGAATATCATCAAAGCTGTTCTCTCAGAATCCAATGCGCGAATCTCTGACATCCTGGTAGCCGTAGCTAGTGCTAACAGGAATAAGGTTTTGTGGGTCAGTGATTCAAACGACGTAGATAGCAATGGTTCATAAGCCTCACTAGTGAGGTGTTGGAGCACTATATTTAGATCCAAGGCTGGAGGGTGAAACTTCCGTTTCTGATCCTCCAATCGGAACGCTCGTAACAAAGCGAGTAACTCTGGTGTTTTTGTTAACTTGACGCCCGTTCGCATAGTTATGACAGAACTTATAGCCGCAAGATAAGTGGACAAGGTTGAGCCTTTTAGATTCTTAGTTTGCCGTAGATAACATAAGAAATCTGCCACTTGAGGATGTGTAGCATATCTGGCTGTAAATCCTTTCTTAGCACCGTAATTGACAAAACTGTGCCATTTGTCATCGTACAAGTTACGAGTTGAGTTACGTAGTGCAAGCGTGACCGCTTTAGCCGCTCTGGCAGACATGCCTTGATACAATCCATACGTGAAGTTGGAATGCTTCTGGTGTTTCGTGCACTTGTTTGGTGAGCGGATGTATCAATAGATTGGCGGGTTGTGGGAGCTGAAGAATTGGTTTTCCCATTACTTGAATGAGATCTGGAAACCAAGTTCTTGCTGGCCAGTAGGGCGCGACCAAAATCAGATGGAGGCTCTGCGTTTGACTGATTTTCTGTAAGACTTGTGGGATCAACGCTGGAGGCGGGAAAGCGTACGCGTTGAGTCTCTCCCACGATATGCATAGTGCGTCCGTTGCCCATGCTAGTGGGTCTGGCACTGGCGACACGAATGTTGTCAGTTGCTTGTTGAATCGAGTGGCGAATAGGTCTATCAGTGGAGATCCTATTTCCATGATTATTTGATTGAATATCTCTGTGTGGAGCATCCATTCTGTCGGCGACGGTTGGTGTGGCCGAGAGAGCGCCTGCTAATACATTCTTTGCTCCTGAATGTGGCAAGCTCTGACGTGTATGTTTAGATTGTCGATTAAATCGAACAGTCTGAAACATCGAGTCAGTAGGTTCTGTGACCTTGTTGAACCTTGTTTGTTCACATAAAACGCCACTGTTGAATTGTCTGTGTGAACCATCAACTGAGCGTACTGTAGTATGTTGCTCCAGTGACTTATGGCGTTTATGACTGCTTGCATCTCTAGCAGATTTATGTGACATTTGCTCTCTTGATTGCTCCATAGGCCTGACGCTGTCCTGCCGGCAAGGTGGGCTCCCCAACCTTGTAGTGACGCGTCTACGTAGAGATGTGTGTTCGATTCTGGCTCTACTAAGGAGACGCCTGCACAAACATTCAATCTCTTGGTCCACCAGAGTAGATGTGGTTTGACATAATCTGGTAGACTGAATGGTAGAGGGTCCTCGAGATGAGCACTGATGAGGACTTGTGGGTCATTCTCAAAATTTGCCCAACTTTTGGTCAGTAACACATTGCTCTGAAAATATTGTTTCAAATTTTTTTCAAAAATCATATTATGAAAGAAAAATGTATTTTGTTCCTCATAATGATGTAAAATAGTGTACCTGTTTGTTATTTTTGGGACAAAATTGGGTTTTTATCATCATTTTGAAAGAAAAACCACTGTCAGTGGACAGCGACATTACTTTGCAGTACCATAAAGTTTAAATTCCAGGGTATTTATACATATTTTTAAAGATTTATAATGAAACACCAATATTAAAAACACATTCCTGCATGAAATATTGAAAACAAAAATGAAAATCACATATTTACAATGAAAACAATGACTGTCCAAAAAATGTCACAGTCAGTGGTGTAACTAATATAAACATGTGACATTAATAATTATCTCGCTTGAGTAAAAAATATGAAAACTAAATGGTCCCTTTGCTGATGACTTTCTTCCTCGGGCAGAAGTTTTGTGGAGGCCAAATTTTATTTTGATGTTGAAGTTTGATGCAGTTGGTGAGTCTACTTCATATCATAACTTTTTATCACAACCAGTGGTGTAACGCTGATTTCTTATTCATGTGTTCTTTTCATAACAATGTTTATCTAAAGTACATCAAAGTTACTAAAACATCAACATTTATGCCAGGTGGTCTGTGATTAGGAAGCATTAATTGTTATAAAGTTCATAAAGTGGGAATAGGTCAGTGGTGTAACTGTCAGTGGTATAACATGGGAAAATGTTACGCACTGACAATTTCTGTTACACCACTGACAAAATGTTCATTTAAGTCACTTGTTCACAAACTCAACTGCTTTGCATTGTATTTATCCAGTATATTTTATTACCATTAACTCATGTAAAGTCTGTGAAGGTAATTTGTTCTGGTATATTAGTATATAAAGTTCAGAAAAATCAGTGGTGTAACAAAAATGTCATTGGTGTAACAGTATTACTACAATATGTTCATTTTATTGTTTTTAATATTATTTTGAAAACCTTTTAAAATCTGAGTGTTCAAAAGTTGCTATTGAGCTGTTCAATTATATTAATGATCAATTAAAGGCAATTAATTTGAATTTATCGTTGAAGTTAATTCAATAAAATCAGTGGTGTAACAAAAATGTCATTGGTGTAACAATATTACTACTATTTGTTCAGTTTATTGATTTTGTATATTATTTTTTAAAAACCTTTTAAAATCTGAGTGTTCAGAATTTGCTGTTGAGCTGTTTAAATCTGTTAATTATCAATTAAAGGCAAGTAATTTGGATTTATATTTAGAGTGAGGTAAAGAAAAATCAGTGGTGTAACAAAAAATGTCATTGGTGTCACAGTACTCTTTGAATTTGTACATTTTAATCTTAACTGTTGATATCATTTGTTTTCCAACGCCACATATTGGAAAGCTGTTCTCAAATGATGATTATTAAGTAATCCAAAGCATCATATGGCTGTTGATTTGGTTTACTGTTCCAGTAAGTTGCAGAAAGTTCAGTGGTGTAACAGGCAGGATATCAAAATATATCAGTGGTGTAACATGCATATTTGCTAACATTTAATTATTTCAAAAGAATAATTTAACAGTTAGACTGATATTTTATGATAACTTAAAACAGCTTTAATAGCACTGTATACATAAAACATGATCAGTCTTAAGTATACAAGTTATTTCAGAAAAATATCATATGTTACCATTACATTCTTCTCACACCAAGCCCTTTTTGCCAAATTTACAATTAAATATGTGAGAATAATGAAACGATTTAATTTATACTTGAAAATAGAAAAAGTTTGTAAATAATGACAAATGTGAAAAATTCCTTATCTGACATCAAAGTTTGAAAAAAGAATACTTTTATGCTTGTT